TGACTGCGGCGACTCTATTTCGAGAGTCCCAGTGCGTAAATTTCTCCAAGTACGTCCGAAATGGCGCCCTCGCAGCTTAAGCAGTTAAAGGCATCTTTACACGAGAGCGGCGTCCTTGGTCCTCAAAAGTCAAAGAAACAGAGAAAATCGAACTCCAAAGATGCGCAAAAACGGGCACAGCGCAATGCCGCTCTCGAGGGCATTCGAGAACGATTCAATCCCTTCGAGGTCAAGGCACCTGCCCGAAAGGCAAAGTATGAATTTGTCAATGCAAACAATACCAAACCCACAGTCGGCCGGCCGGGCGTCACACGTGGCCTAGGTGAAGAGCGGCGGCGAGAGACGTTATTGAAAGAGATACAAAGTCGCAACAAGGTGGGCGGACTGCTCGATCGACGGTTTGGAGAGAATGACCCCACGATGACCCCCGAGCAAAGAGCAGCCGAGAGATTTGCTCGTCAGAATGAGCGGAAGATGAAGAAGAATTCCATGTTCAATCTTGAGGATGACAGCGAGGAGGGAATGACGCTTACACATGGCGGAAGATCACTTGACTTTGGGGATGGTGCCGAAGATGACTTTGATGATGATAACGTGCAGGACTTGGAAAATGCAGACGGAGATTTTGATCAGGATGATAGACCTCGGAAAAGGCTGCGCCTCACCGAAACCGGCGATGTCGATGACGAAGAGGATGATGGAGAAGGTCTTCCGCAGAGGAAGAAGACCAAGAATGAGGTGATGAAAGAAATCATCGCAAAGTCCAAAATGTACAAAGCCGAGCGTCAAGCTGCAAAGGCAGACGATGACGATCTTCGAGCGGAGCTGGACAAAGGCATGGCCGATTTCTACGAAGCGCTTCGAGGGCAAAAGGTCCCGGACGAGCAACCTCTGCCAATATCGAATGCGGTTGTAGAGCCGCACATGGATCCTTCTCGTGCTGCAATGTTGGCAGGAAAGAGCAGGGAAGAAGCAGAGAAGGAGTATGAGGCCAATCTCAGACAGCTGAAATTGGAGACTCGCTCAAAACCGAGCGTACGGACCAAAACTGACGAAGAGAAAGCCGCCCAGGAGGCCGCTAGACTCGAAGAGCTCGAGCGCAAGAGGATACGCAGGATGAAGGGCGAGGCGGAGAGCTCCGAGGATGAAGAAGATGACGAGGCAGGACCAGACGAAGATGTTGATGTCGACGATGCGGAAGCATTTGGCCTCTCTGCTCCCGACCTCGATACTACCCATAAGAAGGAACTCGATGTTGAAGATGAAGACGAATTCCTTCTTGATGACGACTTAATCGCTTCGGACTCAGAACCTGAGATGGCCAGCGAACAAGATTCTGAAGAATCCGGATCCGACAGCGACGTTCAGGACGACGGCGATGACGATTTCGTCAACGGGCTGGTCTTGCCACAGGAGGTTCAGAGCGCAGCAAAGACAGCGACCAAGACTCCAACCAGCAGCAAGCTCGCTTACACTTTCCCCTGTCCCCAGACACACGAAGAATTCTTGGAAGTGGTTAAGGACTCCGAGGTCGCAGACTTGCCAACGATCGTGCAAAGAATACGTGCCCTCTACCACAAAGGTCTCGCCGAGGGCAATCAAGAAAAGCTGGACACTTTCGCTGGTGTGCTAACCCATCATATTGCGTTTCTTGGGAACACGGACAATCATGTCACATTTGCTGTTCTCGAAAGCCTCCTTCGACACTTACATTCAATGGCAAAATCATCGCCGGAAGCAGTCGGCACTGCTTTCCGCACACATCTCCAAAACATTGCTGATGAGAGGCCGCTTCAGTTGTCCCCTGGAGACCTTGTCATCTTGACCGGCGTCTCGACTATCTTCCCAACCTCGGATCATTTCCACTCTGTAGTGACGCCCGCAATGCTCACCATTGGACGGTATCTTGGGCAGAGCTCGATACAATCTCTTCGGGACCTCAGTACTGGGGCTTACTGCTGTTCGCTTGCACTTCGATACCAGCGACTTGCAAAAAGATATGTTCCAGAAGTGATCGCGTACGTTACCAATGCTTTGGCTACCCTTTCACCGACACCACTACCGGAACAAGTCGATGTCGGCCACCTGTTGGATGTTCCCATCAGACTGCCTGCAACACCACTACGGGTGAAATTGACCACTGCGATTGTACCAGAGAAGCTATCGTTCAAAGACTTCATCATGGGTCAAAGTGATGATAATGAGCCTACACAAGGCCTTGCTCTTCTTAACATTTTCATCCGTCTAGCAGCACAAGCCGCCTCACTCTGGAGCCAAAAGTCCTCATTTCCTGAATTTATCCAGCCTTTCGTCCACGCCCTCAGCTACTTCGAACGTCAACGCAAAACGCTTCCTTCGCGAACTCTCAAACTAAGCAGCACCGCGCTCTCTACCCTCCTTGCCCTCCAGTCCGCATCGATCAAATTACGAGTCCCCCTTCTCTTACACAACCACCGCCCACTCGCAATAAAAACTTCCTTACCTTCATTCATCGAGAACTACAACCCCGACCGACACTATGACCCAGACCGCCAGCGCGCTGAGCTCTCTAAATTGAAAGCTGAGCATAAGAAGGAGAGGAAGGGAGCAATGAGAGAGTTGCGGAAAGATGCCAATTTCATCGCGAGACAGCAGTTGCAAGAGAAGAAGAGGAGAGATGAAGAGTATGAAAAGAAGTATAAGAGGTTGGTAGCGGAGATTCAGGGGGAGGAAGGACATGAAGCGAAAGCTTATGAGAGAGAGAGGAGGAAGAGAAAGGGAAAATTCTAGGGACTCAGTAGTAGCTAGGATATGGGGATGTCATTGCATCGCCCAACCCATCGTATGAAAAAATGTCACGGTTTTGGATGAACCCTTTCTGACTTTCTCCGTCGAGTTGTCTGCAATCGCGATCTTCGGTTACAATTGCCGGTTAGCTTCCATTGAAGTTTTGTTCTGCTTGATCTTGGACTTGACGCGAGGTCTTCTCGTAGTTCTTGAATTATATGTACCGTGCTCGCCTGGTCTTCAACTTTGGGCTGAAGAACGTTTCCCGAGGGTCTTGCTCAAGTACAATTTGAATGTGGTTTTCCCCCAATCAGCTGTCAAATGTTGCAGGCTTTCATTACCTCGACACTCGGTTTCAGATGAACGAGTCCGTGCTGTCTCGGCAATCTATCAAAAAGACGCGTCTATGCATTCATGAACAAGCTGAATCAACATTTAGCAAGCTACTCTATCAATGGGGGCTATTGTGACTGTCTGATCACAGATTTACGCGGTACAAGCTCGAGAATGCCCGAGGACGAAGCCACCACTCTGCCAGAAACAACTAACAGTGTCAGCACAGGGCAGGGTGCCGCTGTTGCTAAACAAAAACATGAGCTTTCAAAAAAAAAGTCATCTTCAGTCTAAGGGTGAATGATTTTCAGTTTTCAATAGTCATCAACATACCAAGGAAGATCACCTTACCAGACCGTGTCGCCTACATATTCCGTCCACAAGCTCACCAGCAACTGATACTTTATGACAATCATTCATCAATGGGTATGGATCATTGTGCGAAGCTGGACGCAAGGGGCCACATTGGAAGGATTACTCTTTGACAGCATCTCATCCCAGCAAAGGACCGATGGTCGGAATGCGAGCCACTCCCCTCCTTCCTATTAATGGCATTCAATGTTCCAAGAACGGTAACAACAAAAACCACTAACTCAAGCTACGGACTTCCGTCGAGGTGAATCGCGGTTTAGAGGGATCAACGGGGTTGTGGACAGTCCATCTTGACGATTTTCACTGATGGCTCTCTCGTATTTCGGGCCAAGATCTTCCTGAAACTCGATACAATATACAGTTCCTCACTTGGGTCCCAAGACTTCATTACCGTTGGGAAGCCATGGGGAGTCCAATGCGGCAGGACGGTGGGCGGCAGGGAAAACAGACCGACATATATCCTGAGTCGAACACGGGAGATGTTGACAGTGCAACTGTGTCGAACTAGACAAGCAACGACTCTCCGGTTGTCCACAATGTTTCCCCGTCCAGATAATTCTCTTCGTTGTATCACGATCACGCGATTTCCCAGTCTCAACAACAGTATTGATCGGAGCAACCCGTCGTGCAACACAGTGGCAGAGGAAGAAGAAGAGAAGTAGAAAAAGGACATGACCTATCTCCGAAAGATCTCGAAGACTGATGGCCGTACTCCCTCCGTCGTGGGCTTCTTTGATTCTTCCCTCCCTAAGACTCAGAGTGCTGTGTTTCTGAAGTATTCATTGATGCGCCCATGCCTGTAGTATTCGTGTTCATTACCTCTTGCTAACTTGGAATACTCACCATGGCTTCATCCTTACGCATATAAAATTTGTCCTCGAGGAGTCCTCAAACCCTCATTCACCGTTGAAATTCATTCACCTGGTCATCTGGCGCTACTTCTCGGCTACTACAGCTTACTTCTTCTTTCCACTCTGCTCTAGTCTCGCCAGCCTAGCATTTCAGATCCCTTTATCACGCAAGCTGCGGCCTGGTCAGAACGCCTGGTTGGAAACTAACGTCGCAAATAACACAAATCATTCCGGCCACACCGCCTTCGTCGTCTATGGGATGATGAATTGGCTAGGAATGGCTGCTCTGGGTCTTGCGTGCGGAAACGTTGCAATGGTCTTCGGTCAACTTTGGACAGCGCTATGCTTCATCTTCTGGGTGGTCACCAACGCATCAATTGGGCTTTACGCATTTGAATTGGCTCCGGGGTTCTCCAAGGGGGGATCCGCGTGGCCAATGAGGCAGATTGTATATGCAAGCCGCACGCTGTTGTTCAACAGCCATGACAGACTTGGGTTGAATTTTGGCATTCTGGGTGCTTGGATCAGTCTCGGGACAGTTCTGTGTCCGTTTTGTTGTTGGATTATGAGGTCGACAGGGGTAAAAAAAGGGAATCTGGGTGGATCGGCTCGGATGCACTAGATGGCAAATGTAAAAAGAAACTCATTACAATAAGATCAAATGTGAAAAAAAGAAAGTGATCCTGGCGAGACTTGAACTCGCGACTTTCGCATTCCTCGAAAGAGTCATACTGGATGCGACCGGAGCATACAATATAAGAACGACACGCTAACCACTGCGTCACAGGCTAGAGAATAGTTAGCGTTGAGCGCCAACTCTGTGCAGCGGTGGTGGTGATTAACTCACATCAATATAAAAGTGTCCACAAAGTGAAGCCATTTTCGGGACAATTTCAAGTCCAATTCTGGGAGGGTTAATTACATATCCATTCAATATCTAACACGTGACTACACGGGCTAAATTCCACTTCCACGCTCCCTTACAGGGTGTTCTCTCATCTTCGACTAGGCAGTCACTTCCCCAGCATGGGCGGTTGAGCCTTGAATGACGTAGGGCCGCGACGGTAAGAAGCATTCGGACAGAGACCTTCATTTTCTTCCCTATCTCTATCTTCCTTCTTTCCTGGGTAGGGTCTTGGAAGCTTTTGCATACGCAGCTCAAGTGATTCGTTACAGCGGACAATTTTTGCGTAGGATATTGACCTTGTGCAGATCTACCTCTTGGCCGCACTGCAGCAAAACTGCGCAACTCGCGAAATCGGGTCTCAGGATGGGCTCTCAGACCGGCCCCGAGGCCGCGAGCGATGAGGACGACTACATGAACATGACCTTCGAAGACGACCCAACCTCTAAGAGCGACGAGACCCTGACCCAGCGGAAAAGGCGGCTTGCTCGAGAAGCCGAAATCAGAGGCCGACCAAAGTCCAAGGCCGAACTCGCGCAGGAAGAGCGGAAGAAGCGGGAGTCAGCACTGAACACCACTACACTGGACACAAGCAATAAGGGATTCAAAATGATGGCTGCATTGGGCTACAAGCCGGGGAGTGCTTTGGGCGCATCCAGAGCAGCCACAGATGGCGAGAAAGACAATCGACTCCTCGAACCTATCGGTCTGGAAATGCGAGATTCCCGTTCTGGAATCGGAGCCGACGCAGAAAAGAAGCGAAAATTCAGAGAAGAGGTGGAAGCACAGCAAGAAGCGGACAAGAAGAGGAAGGTCGAGGCCGGCGAGTTCCGAGAAAGGCAGCAGAAAGAACGAGAAGAGAAGAAGATGGGAGTTCAAATATGGGCGGCGATGAAGGTTTGCGAAAGGCTGGACGAGGAGGATGAGGGAGAAAAGTCCCTCAATCAGAAAACTGACACTGCAGAGCCAAGAAGGTTAAAGCCGTTGAAGAGCGTTAACGTCTTATGGCGTGGCCTTGTCAAGCAGAGAGCCATTAATGAACGGGATCGAAGGATGAGGTATGACCTCCACCAGTCTCTCTCGAGACGGCCTGATTACATCGATCCTGATGAAGAAAAGGAGGACCAGATGGCATTAGGGAGGAAGGCGGAAGTGGAGGAGGTGGACATTGATCTTGACGAGGAAGACGAAGAACTTAACGAATTCGAGGCCCTCGAGGTGCCTGACAAGTTGTCAAAGCTCGTGGCATATCTTCGAGAAAGGTGGAACTATTGCTTCTGGTGCAAATACAGGTACCCAGATGAGAAAATGGAGGGGTGCCCCGGCACGACGGAGGTAGATCATGATTGAAGTTGAGCGGCAAGCATCACGACAATTGTAGAATCAATACTTCTTCCTTCATTGGGCATTACTCTGTGTTGTTTTTCTGTACCACGGGCGTAGACTGTGCGTCATTCTCATAGTTGGAAGATTCGCCGAACATGACCCGAACGAGGGACTTCAGCCTTGTTCAGCCTTGTCTCGACATATCTGCTTCTTGTTGTTTCTTCTTTCCATCCTCCTCGTCGATGTATTATCAGCCATGTCGTTCCTGAGCTTGAACCGCTTCTTGTTAACTGCCCTCATTCTAGGTTTGGGAACAACATGCTTTACAGTCCCAGTTTTGCTCAAACAAGTCAAAGACGCAGCAAGAGCGCCACCACCAGACCCTCCACCCCCGGCCAAGCGTCTCCAGAAGGATTCTGAGAACTCGCTCAAGCTTGACACTCTACGCACACTCGCAGACGGATATAGCTATGATCTACGCACCTCGGCCATCAAGATCGTTGCCAGCCGAACCGTTAGATCTCGCACGAGGGAACTATTATTGCGCGATCTGGCCTGTAACGACCACAACCGCCGCGAGAATGCTATTAACGCTTTACACATGCTTCTCACTCACCCGGCGCTCAACGATTCGATATCCGGTCAATTCCGAGACGCTAAGGCCATCACGGCGGTTGTTCGTGGCTTGATTAATGTGCTTCCCCAGCATGATATTCACGTCAACCAAGAGGGTAAAAAAGAGACGGCCATCGCGGCTGAGAAGAAAACGCCGCCACCGTCACCCATCCGCCCTAGTCGCCGGCCCTCTCAAGAAGCTCAGTTGCTCGAAATATTCACTAATATGCTTCATAGCCTTTCGCGGCGCGACATACATTACATAGAAGTGATGAACACCGCCTTGCGCGCGGGCTTGGTCACCAAGTGGTTAGCAAATTACCCTTTCCCCTGTGCTTTGCCAGAGAACTCTGAGTTCAACTTCAAACGATGTGATGTGGCGAGATTGTTTGACCGTACGGCTTGGCTTTCTGACGACCCTCTAATGGGGGACGTCATCCTCGAGGTGATGCAATATCCTCCAGCGAAGAGACAGATGCGTGAAGTCGGGTTGAGTGCAAGCAGCTACAAAGAGAATATGGACATGGGGCGCAGCGATCGGGACTCGTGGAATGCGGGATGGGGTTCGTCGGGCTGGGCCGATGGCGAGGCAGATGCCGACGAAGACAACGATGTAAGAATGGTCAATGGCGAAGACACCGCAGGGCTGATTCCCGGCAACGCCGCCGCTCCTCAGGACAACATCACGCTCTGGGATGAACCTGCACGATCAACCATTACCAGGGCCGGCGCTAGACTGAGGTCCGCCGAGAGGAGTCAGGAAGAGGAGCATTTGCGAAGGCGACACAGGGAGGCGATTGTCGTTGCCGAGCGGGGTACGCCGCTGAGCAGGGAAAATATCTTGCAGAGGGAGAATAGCGAGATCTTGCAGCCCATGAACGGGGTCAGCGAGGTCGAAGGGGAGTTGAATGGGCTGTTGAATCTGTCCGAAAGCTCTGCGGATGCCCAGCTAGAGGACCAGGAAGCCCGCCCCGATCCACCTCCCTGTTCCGACACAACCAACGTCTTAGATCTGGCTCCTGAACTGGAGGACGAAGTGGCAAAGGAGCTGACGACGGTGGATGAGGACAAGGACAAGGACGAAGAGGAGATGATCCGAGCTCAGAGGAGGCACCGTGAGATCGAGCAATTGATCGAGGAAGACCCAGAGATACAAGGCACGAGTGAGGTGCTGTGCCAGCCGACTGGTTCGGGTGAGGCAGCAGCCATGGACACGATTCCAGCCACTGCTGGCTCTCCAGTAGTGGAGGACGACGGTGCCGACAAGCAAGAAGGCTCGTAGTGACTGTAGGAATAATGGGGCGCAGCAAAACAAAAAATTGTACCACTATTGACACAATGTATCCCCTTGATATTTGCATAGCGAGGCGATAAGGGCGTCAGAGGCAGTGCTGGGCAAAGACGGATAATGCACACGGTGCAAAAGGGGCACACTGGGTTCCTGTTCAAATACGGCGTTCACCTTCCTCTCCTGAAGGATTCATGTCAAGAGCCGTCCTTTTCGTTTTGCAGCTTTTGACTATTGGGGTCATGCAGAGACGCTTGGATCTATCCATCCTCGCAGCCCCCTTTCTTTTCATCAGCATCCGCCATCTCCCGCGAGCCCATGCATTTCGGATGAAAAAGGAAGTTCATCACGACTCCCCAACCATATCGGCCGTGCGAAAAAAAGTATCTCCCGCGTAGCCCACGACTCTCCCACCCGCTACTCTCTCCCTCTCCCTGGCATTCGTCGTCTACTTCAACGGAATGAACCGCGAAGAGTGCGTAGCACCGATACCGGGTCTACCGTGCTTGACGGGCTTGTAACTGATTGAGAACTCGCCCAAATAGTGGCCGACCATTTCGGGTTTGATTTCCACCTGGTTGAACTCCTTGCCGCTGTAGATGCCGATGACGCTGCCGATCATCTCGGGGACGATGATCATGTCTCGCAGATGGGTCTTAACCAGGTCGGGCTTCTCGTTGGGTTTGGCGTTCTGCTTGGCCTTGCGCAGTTTCTTGATCAGGCCCATAGGGCGGCGCTTCAGGCCGCGGTTGAATCGGCGGCGTGCCCGGGCATGGAGGATTGTGAGGAGCTCGTTGGAGGGGATGTCGAGCAGTCTGGCGTGCGAGATTGTGCGTTAGCCTTCCATTTCTTTTCCCACTTCCTCCGTCTCTCCGGAACTTTTGGATGACGGGAGATGGGGGTTTGAAGAATTGGACAAAACGTACTGGTCGAGATCAATGCCTCTGTAAGAAAACTTTCTGAATGTTCTCTTCTTCTTGAGCTCGGCGGCCTCCTCGGCATTCTGTAGCCACGAGATGAATTAGATCACGCCCAACAACATCCTATTGGGATCGTAGCAAAATCGATGAAAAGACATACGTAGTCGGTGTCGGCCATGATTGTGTTCCAGAGGACTGCGCGGGTTCGCTTTTTGATCTGACTGTCGAAAGCGACGAGGGCAAAATGAAGTTGTGCAGTTGGCGGTGATACAGGACGATTGCAGACAATAGCGCGGGAGCCAAGTTGAGGGTTCGATGGAAAATTTAGGGCAAAGTGCACCACGTGACTAGAATTCTTGGCATCATTTCTGTGTGGCATACGCCCTCGTTCAAGGAATTCAGTCTTCAGGGGCTACAGCGCTTTCACGTTTTATGGATGATGGAAAACATTATATGGAATTTAGATTGAACTCGGATCAATTGGAGGTATCGAAGGTTGCTTTTTTTCCTACCCCTATCCAGCAAGCAAGTCAGAGTCTTGCGGTAGCTATGTCCCGTCTTCGCATTGCTCGCTGTTATGGCATTGGTTGACTTGGTCTCGCCTAAATAGGTCGTGCATCCAAAGATGATCAGTAGTGCCGTCCGTCAGCGCCATTGTCATTTCCATCTCCGACCACGTATCCCTTGTAATTCGGTCGTAGATTGTTCGTAGTCAATTCTCGTAGCCCCTGTTGTAATTTGTCGCTTAGTCGAACAGACCAAAGCCCATATCCTCGTCGGACTCTTCCTTCTCCTCTTCTTTCTCGGCAGGCTTCTCTTCCTCAGCAGCAGCAGCACCAGCAGCCGCAGCGGCACCGGCAGCAGGAGCAGCACCGCCACCAGCACCGCCAGTTGGGACAGAGGCGAGTTTTGTCGAGCCCTCGGAAATCAGCTATAGCGTTGTCAGTATCCTCTCGAAGATCCCGGTAGAAACAATTCATGGTACCTCATTGATGTCCTTGCCTTTCAACTCTTCGAGCAATTTGGAGAGACGTTCTTCATCAGCGTCAATTCCGACAGAGGAGAGGACTCCCTTGATGTCGTCTTCGGATGGGTCACTGTTGCCGGCGAGGCCAAGGAGGAGGTATGCTGCAAGGTGCTTCATTTTGAATTTGTTTCTTCCCGTAGAATGTTAGTGTGCGACATGTTTGGAAGCTTGCCCAGACTTACGGAGAATGGAAAGTCGGCGAACAAGAGAGACAATCGATTTAACCGCTGACTTGGGCGGAGACTGGCACTTCGAGTTCTGGTAATTGTTCGTTCGTGGGGAAGTCGCAGAAAAATCGTCAATTGCCTGAAGGTTGTGCGTGCGGCCTGCGAAATTCAAGAGCAAAATTATACTAGGCAAGTTAGCCGGGTCCGCATGCGGTCCAGTCGCGTGTCAAGCTGCAAGCATCAAACAAATGGCAACTAAGAAGTGGCCACCTGGAGGCGGGGACGTGGATTGACTTCACCTATTTCTTCCACGTCGCTCCTCTGCCTTCCTCTTTCCTTCCTCTGTGTCATTCGTCAACCGCACTCATCTCAAGAGCTTGCATCTGGTACTTTCTTTGTATCCATATGAATACCCTTTCACAGTGATTGCGCCGGCCGGCAGCGGGCCAATACGAGAATCATGCATAAAATCCCGGCCTCGAACCTTCTGACTTGACCACCTTCCAATTTTCTCCGACTCACCGCTCAGCCTTCATCATGAGCCTCTTCAGCGACATCGTCAACTCGATCGGCAGCGACAAGTCTCCAGCACCACCGAAGCCGCCAGCAAGACCGCTCAGCGCAAATGCACACCGGCCAGGTCTCGACGTCAGCAAGTCTGGGTTCCGGCCCGGTGTGCCGACAGCCCCCTCGCCGCTGAATGGTACAAAGCGGAAGGCCGACGACAGCTCTGCAAAACCGCCCGAGAAGCACATCAGGCCGAATCCTACACCTGGCTTAACCAGTACTATTATCCCGAGACGCCCTGTTGCCCCTCCTCTCAACGCTCCCAAACCGTCCAATGAAAAGTCGCTTCCTATGCCCAGGCCAAAGCTCGACGCTCAGGTGACCTCACCAAAACCTGGTTCTGCGCCAACCACTCCAACCACCGCAACAGCTAAAGGTCCAGCCAAGGGTTCGTACGCAGATCTGATGGCTCGAGCAAAACAAGCGCAAGTGGACAGAACACAACAAAGCCAAGTTGGGTTGATCAAGCACCAGGCAACAAATCGAGAGAAGCCGTCGAGATTGGCTGAGAGAAGACGTCAAGAAGAGGCAAAGTCAAAGGTTGTGAACGAGAAATCCAGCGGTGGCCGTCTGGCAACTGGCGGTAAAGGGCAGGATAAATCTCGAAGCGTTAGTCCCGCCAAAAAGACGGATCAACCAAAAGTACCCAAAGTCGCTCGACCGCCATTACATGCTCCCCCGTCATCTGCTTACAAAGGCACTATGGGTATAGCTTCTGGTCGGTCCAAGCCGGCAGCAAAGCGCGGGTCAAATTACAATGAATACCTCGGCACCGACGAGGAGGACGTCTCGGATGACATGGATGGATATGGAGAGGACGAAGAAGATTATGCATCTGATGTGTCGTCTGACATGGAAGCCGGAGCGTTTGAGGTGGACGAAGAGGAGCAGAGAGCTCTCAGGGCTGCGAAGGAAGAGGATGCCCGAGAGTTGGCTTTGGAAAACCAATTGAAGCGAGAGAAAGAGGAGCGGCGTAGGAAGCTTATGAGTCTTGCAGGGAAGAAGAGGTGAGGAGGAGACAGGAAAACCTATGAAATTTTTGACTTGCGACATGATTTGGAACTTATCTAGCCTTATTGATAACTTAGCATTGGTGTTGGCGGAGTTTTGCATTACAGGAAGACACACGTGTGGCTAGCTACCCACTGTATTCAATGGATATTATCTGGTTTGCGATATGCAAGTACAGCAGCGGGCCGTTTCCGCCAGCAGCTTCTTCGGAATTGCGGTTGCGTTTTGTCTCTGGAGGGACGCAAGGCGGATGTGGCCATCTTCATCCGATACTGTGACACACGAAAGAACCTTGGGTCGAGCAAGGCGATCAATCGCATCCTTTACTCAAAAGCGATCGATTACAGGTTACTAGCTTACTCTAGTCAGACACCAAACTCTCAACGTCAACGCCTTCCACGCGATAAAACCCAAGCGACTTCAACATGGGCTTGTCGTGGAACCTGTACAGGTACACAGGTTCCGACCCTTCGGCAGCGGTGTGCTGGTACTTGTTCCAGGCGGGAACGCAGAACGTGTCGCCCTGCTTCCAGTGGAATTTCTGCCCATCGATCTCGCTGTATCCCTGGCCCTGGACGACGTGGTAGACGGACGACGCCGTCTCCCTCACGGCGGGGGATGTGCACCCGGCATTTAAGCGTTCGGCAGAGCCGCCGAGGATTTTGGAGACTGTTATGGCCCAGCGGTGTTAGTTGATGGGTGGTCTCCTGCTTGTTGGTGCCAAAGGAGGGAGGCTGGTAAAGGACTTGGAAAGCGGCGCGAGAAAATGGGAAGGGGAAATGTCTTCCTTACCTGGTCTTCCATCCTCCTTCAAATAGTCCTCCTCAGCCCAATCCCCCTTCTTCTCATCGAGCTTCTTCTGCATCGCCTTCCAAGGAAACACAATCGGGCTCGTGTTCGAGTCCACGTCCGCGGCGGGATACCGCGGCTGGTTAAAATGCTCGACAAAGTGCACGGGGAAATGGACGAAGTTTGGCAGATCCAGGCCGTCGAGCCAGATCATCGGGCCTGACCCGTCCTTGCCGTGGTCATGCCAGTTCCAGGTCGGCGTCAAGATGACATCGCCGCGCTGCATGGTGATGCGTTTGCCGTGCACCGCAGTGAAGCCGCCCTGGCCCTCGATGATGAAGCGCATGGCGAAGGCCGTGTGTCGGTGGGCGCGGGCGGTTTCGTTGGGCATCACTAGCTGCAGACCTGCGTAGAGTGTGTCTGTGGTGAAGGGTGCATCTGGAGAGTCAGGGGGCAGTTAGCCATAGCGTTCTTTTATCCTTCCTTGTGACCACAAAGTGCCCTGGTTGACGG